TTTCTAGTGAAATACAAGCAAGATCTTGTGTTTTTCTCCTTTTTTCCCTATTTCCTGCTGTGTTTTCACTGAATTCCTGCTGTTTTGCTGCTGTGGACAGCAGTTGGCTGCTGTATTTTTATTGGTTTGGGTTAGGAATACTTGAGAACTCAAGTATTTCCTATCATAAAATTATGGTTGTGATTACTTGTCTATTCAACTTATATCTAATTTTAAATATGAGTCCCAACTTAGTTTGCTTAGAAAAACTCAAATAAAATTATGGTTGTGATTACTTGTCTATTCAACTTATATCTAATTTTAAATATGAGTCCCAAGATTTAGTGGAGTCTTTACTGGGTCGCTGAGGTTTGCTTTTGGCTCTTTTACAGTACTTGAAGTTATGATTAGTGTGGCATCTCTATTGCAAGATGGAAACTAAGGGGTATGGTGGATATCAGTGAACAAGAACTGGGGTGGGAAGGCTGGCTTCTCCATCGACCACCAATTGCCTGTTTCCTAAAAGTTATTCCAAATTCCTAAAAACACTTCTTCTAACTCTCAATTTTACTTCTTAAGTTTCACAAGTATTGGAATTTTGGACCATTACGTCACTGTCATACTTTACTCAAACCAGTATCCGTTTATGCTCTATTTTACTTTTCATCTCCTTAGTTGTTCTTCCTAATCATTTTTCCATTTATACCCCAAGACGGGCTATGCAGTCCATCCGTTCTCATAATTACATAGGAGGAAATGACATGCTAAAAAAGCAGACTGTAGTACTGAAAAGTTGAGTAGTCTGGGTCGGCTCTATTATTGGCAGATAGAGATAGGATGAGGGAAAATGTGGCTAGGTTTAGGCTGAAGACTTGCCTAATATGGATATCATTGTTCGCCTTACTGTGACAGGCTTCGCTTGGTTAGATATGCAGGAGACGGACTTTACGTACTTTCTTATTTAGCACAGTCCATATAGTAGCCTAAACAAATATATTTTTGTTCGAACATTTTTCATTAGACACAATCAACCAAATATATAATGCTATTTGGCCTGTACATATCTTGGCATATATTATAACACTTAAAAAAATTTAGGTTTGCTCAACAATGTAATATTGAAGCGATTGTATTATATCATCATTGGCTTTGATCCAACTATTTGGGATTTTCTTTATGAATTTTCATTCTCTATTTTTCATATTCTGTGTTACATGAGGTGTTATAATTTATTTTGCAAAAATTATCTATTTTTCATATTCACATCACCCCTTTTTTCCCTAACAGTTCAACATTAATTTGTCTAAGTTTCTTATTAGTGCATCCTCTTTCATTTTATTAGTGCATGTTCTATCTTTTGATATATGTCCAATCTCCCAAGTCTATTTATCACTTTCTTATCTTTAATAGATGACGCTCCATTACCTCTCAACATAAATATTTCACAGTCTATCTTTTTAATTTGGCCACCCATGTTGATCATGGTATAATACTAGTATTATATGAACTTTATATATATATATATAGAGCTCCTATTGTTTTGTTCAAGTTTAACCATATACTTCTCCGGTTTATTAGGCTGCACAGATCCGTACCTATTTAATTGTAAAATTTACATGGACCTTTTTTTAGGTTTTTATCACTAATCCGTTGTTTTTCTGCTGATCTGTGCACTAATTATTTTTGTGTCCTGAAAATTTCACTCTTATCAGCTAATTTCTGTTTGATTAAACATGGAATAGTCATTCAATATAGCAATGCTCATGAAATGCAGGAGAAAATTTACCTCTTTTTGTTTTTTATCCTTGATGTGCGATTTCTTTGACAACTCAGTTTCTTTATTTTGGTGAGGACAATATTAGAGAAAACAAAAAATCCAAGAGCCTTAGGGATCCTGCTAAAATATCTAAGATGAAAGAAGACTTGGGGAGGGTCATTGGTCTATAGTACACCGATGGAACATGGGTATTTATCTTTTCTCTTCCCTGAGGTTTAGCTAACTATTGTATAACTCCTTGATAAAATATCAACTAATTCCCACATGGTATTTTTTCAATCAAAATTCTACCAGTTTAATATTAAAATAAAACTTTTGCCCTTGACAAATATGATAGAAAGGTTATTTTATATTTTACCAAATAAAAACCAGATAAGCTGTTCAACTTCGAAGTAAATACAAAATTTATTTAAGATGCTTGAAAACAGCAAAGAATGTATCCAGAACACAACTTTGGGCTTCTAGATTTGTTTGCAATTTTGTTTGCTAAAATATTAAATACCCTTTCTATTATAATTTTAAGGGCAGAAGAATCATTTTAATATTAAATTAAGAAAAATGTAATTAAAAAGGGTTTTTAAGTCTTAGGGGGGTATATAATAATTAACTAAATCTCAGTGGTGTTAAATGATAATTATATGATGGAATATCAGTGTTTGGAAAATTACTGTTTAGAGAAGGCATGGGTCAGTTGTAAGATGCGGATATGATGCTAATATGTGTTTTTATAGTTTCCTAATAATATTATTTTATTTTTCTAGTTGTTTCCAACTAGTGTTCGGTTAAATGATTAAGGTTATTTGTTAAAATAAAGTTCTTTATGAACTATATATGGTTATCTTTTATATTGCTTCATGTTGCCACCTTGTTTAGGATGAGTTTTTCTAGGGAATATCTAACTCATCATGCCAAGATAAGCCTCTTTTTGGGAAAACTATGAGTTTGATATAGTCAAGTAGTAGACGAATTGGTAATACAATTTTGGAGATATTTTTTTATGAAAGTTTTCTTTTCCTACTCTAGAATTCATGGAAGTTCATCAAATCCTTAGGTATATTTTCATTTTTATGATAAGAAATCACCTGCTTTCATATTTATATCAAGCATGTTTCATTCTTTGGTTTTATAGAAAGCAATTTCATTTATATAATCATGTTAGAGGATAATACAAAAGCACTTAAGTTTTTAATTTAGCATTTATATCATGAAAGACTAAGGGTAGGCTTGGAAGAGTGATTAAGTTGCCTTTGGTGTATTTTGGAGGTCCCAGGTTCGATTAATGGAAATATGTTAACCTCAATTCCAATTCCATCATGCGACATAATAGTGTGCCTAGCATTGGGACGTAATGGGGGTTTATGTTTATGGTCACACATGATATATATCATGCAAATGCCCCTATGGCCCACAAAATAATTAAGGATCCAAGGCAGTCAAAATTTTTTGCACTCCCTTTAGCCTTATATCGTTTGGGACTCGGCTTTTCTTCCTTGTTGCTATTAATAACGAGAGGAGTGAAAGGAAAAATTTTTATACAGTGGTGACATGGAAGTTTTGCTGAGTTTTTTATTAAAATTTAGAGTTGTATAATTTTTGTCTCACACTATGGGCGTGTCATGAGAATTAATATTGGGATAAACACCGACTAATACGGACTTGAATACAACAACAACCACAACAAGGCTTTATCCCACAGTGGGGTCAGTTACATGAATCATTTTTCTCCATTGTCCTGTTAAGGGTCAAATTCTCATCTAAATCTAATAAAGAAATGGCATTTCTAATATTTTCTAACCAAGTCTTTTTAGGTCTACCTCTACCTTTCTTAACATAAGTCAAATCTAATTCATATACTTTCCTAACTGGGTCATTGAAAGGCCGCCATTTTATGTAACCAAATCATCTAAGATGACTCTCTCTAATCTTATCTTCCGCTGGAGCTACTCCAACCTTTTCATTTATGTGCTCATTTCATATCCTGTATTTAAGAATAAAACATAATATATTGAGTGTTATTTTAGTTGAAATAGATCTAGTGGGGGATTGTGACTTTAGACGATCAAGTCATTAAAAAGAATACACATTTTAGATATCTCAGGTCTATTGTTCAATGTGATGGTGAAATAGATGGGAATATTATTATTAGAATTCAAGTTGCATGGTTGAAGTGGAGGAATGCATCAATCCTATTGTGTGATAGAAAAGTACCCCCAAACTTAAGGGAAAATTCTATAAGATGGTGGTGAGACTTGCAATGCTTTAGGCGCAGAATATTGGCCCATTAAAAGGGAAGCATAAAATTAAGTTATGTAAAGCAGAGAATGATAGGTGAGTTGCAACCAAGCTTGCCTTACAATCGAGGATTTAGCTGCCTTCTTATCCACAGTTGTATGGAATCCACACCGCCAAGGCTCAATCATCTACTGTAGATTGTTTCTGTTGTACTGTCTTCCTGACAGTAATCAGTCACTTCTCTATGGTGGCATAAAACTTGTAGCCTTTCACTTCTCTATGCTGACAGTAATCAGTCACTTCATGGCAGGGTCTTTAGCGGCTCCAGTCTTCTCCTCGTTAGCTGGTTTTACTATGTCTTCTCGTCTATGTTGCTAGTAGCTTCCGGGTTACCTTATATCCTGTTATTTCTTTTGGTAACTTCCTTTCTATTATTTTTTCCTGGCTAACGTATAGCTTTCACCCTTTTAAGCTTATCCCTTTATTTTTCTCCTTATTTTTTTTCTGGAAGAAGACAGTACCATAAATTTTCCAGAAAGTATTTACTTGCTGAAGTTTTGGTTGTCCTATTTGATATGAAATCAAATATTTATTAAATTCCTTTTTTATGTTTACTTTACAAACTACAATCTTCATTTCGGAAGCTGAAATCTTTTGGTATATATGATTTTACCCCCTGAAAACTAATTAATTCTTGAGGTTATGATTGAAAACCTATATATCATTTAGATTTCGTTTGGGGCGACTTTCTTATTGCTTCTTAAAGCAATTTTTTAGTACAAAAATTAATTTTTTCTACTAAAAAACTGCTTTAAGAAGCAATAAGAAAGCCATCTCAAACGAACCCTTAGTTGCAATACTTTTTGAGTCATAATGTTCAATTTCAATCATGCAGGTCGGCGAAAAGGGTCATGTTCTTTGCTTTGTTGAATTTGATGAAGCCAAATATGCTCTCACTGCACTTCAAGCTCTTCAAGGTTCAGTTTTCACATTGAAATGCTAATCTATGAAGTTATTGCTTTGTTTTCGAGGAAGTTCACCCGGTGTTTCGCAGGCTACAAATTCGATGACAAGAAACCAGACGCGCCGGCATTGAAGATACAGTTTGCGAAATTTCCTCTTCATCTTCCTCATCTTGATCAGAGACACGGCAGTGCGCGCTAAACCTGCTGAATTGTGTTTTAATTAGGATTATGGCTGACTGTGGAGATTATTTTTTAGAGATGATAGATATATCAGTCTTTCCAGCTTTGTATCTCTGTTGAAGAATGTAGTTTTTCCTCATTGAGACAATGCCACTATTCTGTATGCTTGGAATGCAGGTTCTTAACCCTTCCCTTATTAACAATCACACTACAAGTCCCTGACTTTTATGAGGTTAACAGTGCTTGGGGAGTTTTACTTGAGATTTTTTTGTTTTTGTTTGATTGGCTGGCTGATATTTTTGTTTGAGAGTGAGCGATTAATTTGGAATTGTGGTTTGAAGTCATTATCTTGGAGATATAACAATCTTCTAGGATGGTTAGTGTACAACAATAAAATCTAAGTTTTTATTCTACTATGTGTGGTTGGTTATATGAATCACTTTTATCAATTGTGTACTAGTAAGAGTTAAATTCTCATTGAAGGACTCATTTGGGATGACTTTTTTATTGTTTCTTAAAGCATTTTTTTTTGTGACGAGGAAGCACTGTTCTTAGGCCAGTAAAAACCTTGGTCGTCCTAGCATGTTACCCACACTAATTTATACAGGCCAACACTTAAGACTTTCACTGCTTGCCAATGGATTCGAATCAGAGACACAGGTTTTGCCCAACCATTTTTTAGTACAAAAATTTTAAAGCAGCTTTTTAGTACAAAAGTTTTAATTTTTTACTAAAAACCTATTTTAAGAAGAAATAAGAAAATCGTCTCAAATGAAGCATGGGACTTTTTTTACTGTTTCTTAAAACAACATTCTAGTACAAAAATTAAAATTTTTACACAAGAAAGTCGCTTTAAGAAGTAGTATAAAAGCCGTTTCAAATGAAACCTAAATCTAATAGAAAATTCATTTTTAATACTTTTAAACCAAGTATTTTTAGATCTACCGCTATAGTTTTTTAACATAGGCAAGAAGTAGAATGATTAGTGAAAAAAAAAGGTGGGTGAAAGCTAGTTTAATTGACCAAGATTTTAGAATGGTTACGATATTTTTTTTTAATTTAGTTTTCATTTGGATGGTTTAAATTTTATACATAATTATTCTCTTAATTATAAATAAAAAGTATATATTATTTTTATATTTTATCAATTATATTAGGTGGATGATTTTATTAATTCTATAAATTAAAATTAAGTTATTTAAATATTATAAAAATATCATGTGATAGTCTATGAAGCACATTCTAATCAAAATTGGATTAGAATATAAAACTATTGTGACAGAATAACCTTTCTGGAGAATCGCCATAGGATCTTCCACCGGAAGCTTAGACCCAAGTTCACGTGTTCCTCGAATCGAGAGTATTCCAATAGAAGATACCACAAGGTCGAAAGAATGGACAACGAGAGGAAATAGGATAAACCCTGATGGATCTGGAAATGAATTAATCAGTTAAATGTATCTTACATAAATTAAAAAGCAAGGAGATCTAAGGCTGTTTAATGATTCTAAGTACAAAACAACTGATTCATCAAATTAGAAGTGAAGAACTTTTTTTTTTTACTTTTAGTTGCAGAAAGTATTAAGAAAACGAGAAGAGTATTCTTTTTTTCTAAATTGAAAAATAATCACAATTATGCATCTATGGAGAGAAAATCACAGAGAACAGTTATACATATACTCTTAACAAAAAAAGTCATGTTGTAGGCAACCCTTACCTTCGATTTTGCAATGCTGAGCCATTGTTCCTCCAAGTATCATCGCACTGATGATTTCTGCAGCTATGCTCTCAAAAAGATCAGCTCCTCGAGCAGCACAATCACCCACATTATCACCAACCTGGGTCAAAAAGAGAACTCGAATCAATTTTTGACCTCGAATCAAATTTAATGAAACAAAATACTACAAGGAACATGTAAGTCTCTGGAAAAAAATTTATCATCTCCGAAATCTCAGTCAGAAGCCCTAACAGAGACAATTGAAGAACTCTAAAAAAACATAGTAGCACGGACAGAACTATGAGGATGATAAATATAACCCTGAGCACCAAGCAGAAACAATGGCAAAAAAAAAAAAAAAGAAGAAACAATGGCAAATTAGTAATAACATTCAAACTCTGCCAGAACAATATTTTAAGATTTTATCTAGAAAGATCTAATTTTAACCAAAATTGTCATCCTTAAGATCTCTTGGTATTCTTGTTTTGACGATCTTCATTGACTCTTCTGCAGATTTTCATTGGCAATAGAGTATACCGAGAGATAATATCTAACTTAGAATAAACAGATGTCAAGAACAAAATACAAGATGCAACCTAGCGCTTCAAATTAGTTGTTCAATTGAATTTCTCGTCCAGATAAAGGAGTATACATAGGCAGAATCTAAAACTTCAAAATTTCCAATAAATATAAAGCAACACGAAAAAAATCATCTTACCATTGACTTATCAAATACAAAAGTATATATCAACAACAAGTCTTCATCCCATCATGTAGGGTCGGCTAGACAGGGGCGGAACCAGCGTTAAATGTTAGGGGGGGCAAAATTATAAAACGTATATATATATATAACAAAATTCAAACAAACTATTATATTGCAATAAAAATTACAAGCTTTGCATTCTATTTTACATTTTTTGATAATGTTGCATTACAACTTCATTTGGAACCAAATCAAAAACTTCTTTCTCAATATATGGAACTAGACAGTCGTTGAGCCAATCATCACCCATTTTACTACGCAAACCAAAGTTAATGCTAAAACAAGAAATCCTTGATAAAGAGTTTATTTCATTCAAAATTATATTAATGTGGTCTACTCTCCTTTAGTAAGATCAAACAAAAAAAAAGTTTAATATGAAGAATTAAATAACATATAAGGAATCAATCCAACAATAATAAATCAATCCATAACAACATATATGCAACAATCAGAAAAAAATAAAATAAAAGATTAGCCTCTTAAGCTATCCAATCTCTTAAGTTCAATATGAAGAATTAAATAACATATAAGGATGAATGTTCACAAGAGCATTCTTGTAGAACATAGTAGTTCACAGGCCATGTCCTCCGCATGCTGAAGCTATATTCAGGAATATATGAACGTTTTCTGCTTAGTGGTTTTATATCATATTTCAGTTATGCATCACTTTTTAATCATCTAATTATCTGCTTTCTAAAGGTTTATCAGCCTAATAGTATGAATGGTCTAGAAAAAACTGAAGTTAATTCTTAACCAAGTATTTTAAAATATGAAGGAGATCACCTGAAATATTTGAAGAGAGATATTTTAGGAAGGAAATTTTTTAAATTCCTGGTTCAAATCCAGACCTCCAGAATTCACCCTAATATGCTAAAAAAAACACTTTTTTTTCGGACAATAGGAGGAAGAAAGACAGCCGGCTCTTTGTCCGGAACACAGCAAAAATCGGATGACACAAAAATTTGAACAAAAATCTGAACATAAATGTGAACTGTGAGCATGAACAAAAATCTAATAGCATACTCTTAAAAGGAAGAAAAAGTTCAAACAAAAAACTGAAACTTGAGAGATCAGAGAAGAAACAAAAATCTGAAGAAAATTCAGAAAAAAGAAGAAAGCCTCACACGTGATTCTTTAGAGGGGAGCTACGATCTCACGAGAGCCGCGATTCTTTCCTGGCTTCCTTGCTGACTGCAGCGTGAAGAAGAGGGAAGAGGGAAGAGGGCTGCGGGCGATTCACGAATGAGAGGCAGTCAAAGCAAACAAGGGGCAAATGTATTTTTTCAGAGGGGGCAATGTACTAAAATACCCTTACCTGTAATTAAATTGCCCCCCCTGAATATCACTTGGTTCCGCCCCTGCTTTTAGGATTTATGTTTAGGGTTTGTAGGGTGTACTTACATGTTGTAATAACTGCGTAGTTGCCTATAACTGCGTATGAGTTGCGTAAGAACTGGTCACGATTGTGTATCAAATGTCTTTTATTTTCAAAATAATGTTGCAAAGTTAACAAATTTATGAGTTTAGGAAATTCATTTTCGAGTCTACTTTATGGTTTATGGTTTATTGTGTATTGGCTGCGTATTACTATGGTGTATTGGTTGTGTATTAGCTACATATTTGATGCATTTTTCTTCATTTTTACTGCTCATCCACTGCAAACTTACTGCTTGCTTCTCTGTGATTTCTGCAGAATTATGATCGTCCTCTTACTTATCAATGATATGTGTCAATGTAATAATTATCTGTGATACTTTTGGTGAGAAAATAAACAAAGATGTTGAGGAGACCTTAAAATGATTAAACATCTATGAATTTTCAAGTTCCCATCCCTCAATAGAATGTCCCACTGATCTACGAGCTCCTTAAATTATGGGGCATTCTTCAACAGTCCTTTATAATCAGGTGTTATGCCATAAAATTTACAACTGATGAAGTGACTCTTCCAACTGGTTGCCAAACAGAGGCGAAGAAATATTCTGGCAGAGGGAGCCATTACTAGGAATCACATCGAAGGAGATTAACGCTCATATGCTGGAATTGAACATATCAACCCTCCTAATCAATAAGTTAAAACTATTTATCATGTATTTGTTGTCGAATTTAAATTTCCAACATAATATCATCAAAACCTTATGAAGGCTCCTAAGAATTGCAAATAATATAGATGATTTTTCATGTATTAATCGGGTTGGTTCAATGAGAGATTATTTAGTTGATAAGTTTAATAAAATTTCCAGGAATATTTCTATGCAAAAGCCTGCAGGTTATATGAATGATTTCGTATCTCTATTAATTGTGAGTGTTAAGAGCATCTAATTAGCATTCTAATTATTAATTCATTTTTACTAATTCATTAGCTAATATTACATTGGATCTTATGCAAACTTGGTTCATGGAGCACTTTCCGTTGCATGTAGCAGATGCCTTCCGTTTTCTTCAATGGGATGATATTGATTTCTTTTATTTATGTCGATAAGGCCTCCAATATATTTAATACACTAAAGAAAATATGGGTTAGCATGCACATTTCTCCTGAAGCAAATTTCAACTAATGCCCCTAAGAAGAAATGAGATTTGTTAACAATGAAATAATTTCCTTATAAACTTTTGATGTCCTCAAGGATGTAACTTAGGAGGAAGCAAGCATAAAATTTACTAGGTGATTGCACAACCATCCAAAGCTTCCAAACAAAACACCCCTCCTCCCCAGTAAATCCCTTCTCCCATAACCCAAAAGAAATTCCCCACCCACACACATTATTTTCCTTTGCAAGCCCCCCTCATTCTCCC